ACTCTGGAAAAAATTAAGAGTTCAAACCATGATCAAAACAAAATCAAATTTTATTACAGAGATAAAGAAATTGAACATATCTTAAATTGTATATAGCTGCACTTCAAAATAAAGGCAGCATCACATACCTCATAAAACATTAAAATAATGTAGTTACACTAAATGTCATAAAACACTAGGGAAATTATATAATTTCTACATGTAGGGCCAACTTAACATCCAGCTACACCAACTGAGACGAAACACAGATACAAACCCTGTATCTAAAGCTCTACAAAACAATCCTCAATGCACACTAAAATTCCAGCATCAGTAACTTCAGAAAAGAACTGAGTCAATTCCCTCTCCTAATCTATTTACAGTATCTATGTGCATTGAACTTTTGGTGTCAACATAACTTGACTCCCTTCACCACAAGGCACTGTAAGATCAAAAACCAAATCCAAATAAATAGCTATTGCTATATAACTTTATGACCAGGTCTCAACACTGCCCTTCGGACAAATGAAGCATACCATCTCTTTTGATACAGAACAAAGCTTAAGACACCGGACTAAATTTTAAAACAGTAGTGAGTTACTTAGAACAAATACAAATGTCAAAAACTCAACCACAACAATCCTATAGATCCATGCAGGGAATCATCACAGTAGCAGATTATCTTGCCACAGTAAAATGCACAAAGCAGACTTATCAAATGCAGAAATAGTATCCATAAACTACAGATGAAAACAGAGATAAAAACCTGTGCACAGTGACAGTAGGCCAGTTTTCCAAACCTCTCTAATTCCAGAGGCCAGACTCAGGAGCAGCATTTTCTCCTGCAGTTTCCAACATGAGTGTCAGTTTTTCTTAATTCTTTCCCATAGAGACTGTCCAGTTTGGCAAAGAAAACAACAGAACACCACTTGTCATCACCTACGGCCCACAACTTAAACCCCTCCAATACCTTGTCAACAATCTACAGTAAACTTCCAATAATCTGGCATCTTTAGGATGCAGGGGTGCCGGATTATCAAATATGCCAGAGTACCAGAAGGGGGGTATGAAGGGTCTTGGGTGGGCAGGGGGTTGGTGGGGAACTGTGCAGCGTGGGAGAGGGCGGCGCTGCAGGACCAAACTGGCAGCACCCCAGCTGCACTGCCCCCTGCTTCCTCAAGTCCGCTGCTGGTCTGTTTCAGCAGCGGCTGACTTGGGGAAGCCGGGGGCAGAGCAGCTGGGGTGCTGCCGGGTTGGTCCCGCAGCGCCGCTCAGGTGAGGGTCGGCGCTGCGGGACCAACCCGGCAGCACCCCAGCTGCACTGCCCCCTGCTTCCTCAAGTCCGCTGCTGGTCTGTTTCAGCAGCGGCTGACTTGGGGAAGCCGGGGGCAGAGCAGCTGGGGTGCTGCCGGGTTGGTCCCGCAGCGCCGCTCAGGTGAGGGTCGGCGCTGCGGGACCAACCCGGCAGCACCCCAGCTGCTCTGCCCCCGGCTTCCCCAAGTCAGCCACTGGTCAGTTTCAGCAGCAACAGACTTGGGGAAGCCAGGGGCAGAGCAGCTCCAATTGTCTGTCTGGCTGGAGCACTTCTGGGTTCCAGCTGGTGCCGGACTATCAGGAGTGCTGGACCACTGGATGCTGGACAATTGGAGTTTTACTGTACAATGTAGCCTGGAAAATGACTTCTCACTATAACAGGCCTTAGGAGACAGGCCAATCCTCACCTACAGGTGGATTAGGACTAGTTCTGTTCAATATCTTCATCAATGATTTTTAGATGATGGCAGAGAGTATAATTAAGTTTGCAGATGATACCAAAATGAGAGAGGTTGCAAGTGCTTTTGAGGATCCGGTCATAATTCAATATGATCTGGACAAAGCAGATGAAGATTAAAAGGGGCAAGTACAAAGTATTCCACTTAGGAAGTAACAATCAGTTTCACACATACAGAATGGGAAGTGATTTTCTGAGCATGAGTGGGCAATAATTTTTGCCCAAAGGCCACTTCAAAAAATTTTGCAGTAGCCCCAGGCCACTCTTGACGGGGTGGGGGTCTAAACAGGAAGGGGCAGGGCTGCTCCACCTCCAGACCATGATTGGTCTGGGGGTGGGGAAGCCCCTTTGCCCCCCCCTTTCCATTAGGCACCCATGCCCTGGAAGAGGCATGGCACACTCCCTCACCCCCAGGCAAATCAGGGCCTGGGGAACATGGGAAGCCTCCTCCCACCCTGTTAGGAGCATGTGGCATTTTGAAGTGCCACGGGCTCCTAGCAGGGCCGGGGCAGGGTGAAAGAAGCTTCACACAGCTCCCCCACCCCCAGGCCCTGATTGGCCTGGGAAGCATGCTAAACCTCCTTTGTTCTCTCCCCCCCACACCCTGTGAGCAGCTTGGGGGGGCAGAGTGGAGAAGGCTTCAGGCACTCCCCCACCTCCAGGCTCTAATTGGCTTGGGAGCAGGGGAACAGCATGGCATCCACCAGCCAGATCCACCTGTTTGGTGGGCCAGATCCAGCCCGCAGAGGCTCTTTTGCCCACCCTGATCTAGGGTCATAGTGGACCACAAGCTAAATATGAGTCAATAGTGTGATGCTGTTGCAAAAAAAGCAAACATGATTCTGCGAGTAAGACATGGGAAGTCATTCTTCTGCTCTACTCTGCACTGATTAGGCCTCAATTGAAGTATTGTGTCCAGGTCTGGGCATCACATTTCAAGAAAGATGTTGAGAAATTAGAGAAGATCCAGAGAAGAGCAACAAGAATGATTAAAGATCTAGAGAACATGAGCTATGAGAGAAGACTGAAAGAACTGGGCTTGTTTAGTTTAGAAAGAGAGAAGACTGACAGGAGACACAATAGGGCTATGTCTACATTCGCAGCTTCTTCCATGAGTAATATGCAAATGAGGCTAAACGTGGAATATCGCCAAGCCTCATTTGCATACCTAATGAGCCACAATTTTTTTCAGAAGAGGTTCTTGCGCAAGAAGGAGCGTCTACACTGCCCCTTCTTGCACAAGAAAAACCCTCTTGTGCAAAGCCGTTACACCTATTACTTTTCAGGAAGAACGGCATTGCGCAAGAGGGTTTTTCTTGCGCAAGAAGGGGCAGTGTAGACGCTCCTTCTTGTGCAAGAGCCTCTTCTGAAAAAAAATGGTGGCTCATTAGA